ACAATCTCTATTACACATCTCTAGGTCACGTACGACTCGAACAGCAATCAGTTGGTTAACAATTATCTACCTAATTAATGAGCTCAATAATAGTTATGTTTTATTTAACAATTAAGAAAAACCTTTTATTTGACAATTAAAGAAAAACATGTATTTTAAGTTCATCCATGCATTTCCAAGAAATCCGACCACTTAGGTAAATGTTTGTTTTTCTTAAAAGTAGGTACACATTACCGCCAATACAAATTAGTAGTTTTTATCTTGGTATAAAATAATTTTAGCGATATTAAGCTTGATATGCATTAATTTATAATACGAATAAAAATAATAAATTGCAAACTTTTGACGTTAAATGTACTTTTTTACTATGTCATCCTGGTAAATCATTTACTACTAAATGAACCTGAATATAGGGAAAAAACGTTCCCAGTGTACAGGCCAATCTCACCGTCGATCTGATCGGAATAAGTGAGTGCAAAAGCTGTTTCTTTATATTTTACTAGCTGACCCGCGCAACTTCGTCTGCGTCTCTCAATAGTAATAAATTTTCTCCGTTTTTGAAACATTCTTCATTGGTGCTCCGCTCCTATTGGTCTTAGTGTGATGATATATAGCCTATAGCCTTCCTCGATAAATGGGCTATCTAACACTGAAAGAATTCAAATTCTGAATTCAAATCTGACCAGTAGTTCTGAGATTAGCGCGTTCAAACAAACAAACAAACTCTTCAGCTTTATAATATTAGTATAGATTCCAATAAAACATTTACATACATACATATTACATACACACAGGTAGGTAAATATTCGTGGTAGGTTTTAGCATGTATATATTAAATCGATAACATATTAACTACAACAAAAAGCTGCAGTTAGCGTCCATTTCACTCATGAAAATAAATTATATACTTATTTCTCTTATATAACTTTCGAGATTAAGAGGTAATAATGATAATTAATAAGATTCCTACATTTTTAAATTTTTTATTGCAAATGTCAGAAAGTGTAGTTATTTCCAAGTCTAAGTACTGTTAACTGCTTCTTTGACATTAAAGTTCCTACAGATATTGCTGTTCACTTCAATCTTAAGGTTAAAAGATTGAAGTAAAGTTTTTAATAACAAATTCAATGTTACCCTAGAGCCTCTAGAAAAACAAAAATGTACATATATTCTACTGGAAATTGTTTTCCGCATTTAGCTGTTTGGCGCGCTTTGCTCTCTGGCACTTCGAGGAACTGTAGTAAATCCAGTGTGGCTTTCGGGTTGACTACTTACTATTTGAAAACTTTTAGCAGCTCTTTACTCTTTAAAAACTACAAAAGCCTTTCTTGTCTTCACTTCGTATTTAAATCTGTATCTGAAACTAGATACTCGTAGGTACTTAAATGAACATTGTTTCTAAAATATCAAGATTGATTAATACCAAGATCGAATCACCTAATTCATTTTTTATTTTTGGGTTTAATACAAAGCATAATGAGTTATCCAAGGTCAGAAGCAGCTAAAAAATTGTGTCACCTGATTACAGTAGTTCAGCAATGATTTGATATACCAGACTGTTTTAACAATAATTATTTGTGTTTACCATGTATCAAGGTACAATGGGGTTGGCATATCCTTACTGGATCAAAACCCCGAATAAAATAAAGATTAAAAAAATATATATATTTCTGTAGATCTTAGGATTGTTAGTCGCCAACATTTAACTTCTAGGTGAGGTGACAAAAGAAATTCACTTTTATGTACCTACCGATATAATTTTAGTGGGACATCCGTAAATGAGTTTATGTAGCGGAATACACATGTATATGAAAACCGTATATCTGTATATATAAAACAAAGTCGTGTTAGTTACACCATTTATAACCCAAGAACGGCTAGACAATATTTATTATTTTTGTGTAGTTGGCTTTGTCTTCGGCCGGAATAAGATAACATATATTAAAATATGATATTCATCAATAAAAAAAAACATTAGGTGCTGCATTTCTAAATAAATAACGTGTACGTGTGTTTGTATCCTAACACGTCCTTATCTAGCGGCTTTACCGATTACGATCAAATGTTGGGTGTATATTTGTTTCTTACGCTTTCATGCAATAACTTTATCATGGAATTTCACTAAACTAATTATCATGGAATTTCACTTACGTAATGTCAAGGCCACAGAAAAGGACAGTCGCAGTAATAACTACAATCTCAAACGCTGAAAGCAAAGTAATTACCTACCTACTGGCCACTTGGTCAGAGTTCTAAACTGTGAAATCCATTGAACTTAATATAGTTGTTAGTTTTTTATGAAATCACAATCTCATATTCACGATACTCAATCAATTTTAATTTGCAGTTTTTTTTTTAACTTGTGGATTTCAAAGTACTATACTAATTTTTTTAGCATGTACAATAAATAACACAGGCCAACAAAATATTTGCCCAGAAAGCAGAGTATACTTTCCCGAAGGATTTTGGTGCGCTGAATCCAAATTCAGCCGCAGATTTGCTCTATCACGTCAGCTTATTGATATATTGTAACCTAAAAGTGCAAAGGTTCTTCAGCTTTCAAATGATGTTGAGTTTGCTTAAATATCTTTTTTTTGCTAAACAACTAACTAACTAACAGTAAACAGAACATTTTACCCAAAGTAATTCAATAAATACAGCATACGGTCAAAAACTGCAATGTGATTAATCATACAGCCGCCGAGGCGCGCGGGGCCTCCTCCTCCCCCCCCCCCCCCCCTGGCCGGCCTGGCCTGGTCTTGTGTTAGTGTGCGTAGACTGTTCGCACGGAATACAAATAAAGTTATTACGTTTGTGCGATATCTACGGGGAATGACCTTAACCTTTGACAGCTGATTGTATAAAATGTTTAACATTCCAATAATGGTCTGAATATACCATTTCAGTATTCGTTACGACGTCCCTCACGGGTCTACCCTTTTGCCAAAACTTTTTATATTATAATATTTTTTGCATAACAACGGATAGCATAAACTTCATTTCGCAGAAAATCGTAAATTTTATATCCATAATAAGTAAAAAGTAGAACCATCATATCGCCGAAAGTTCATAGTCAGAATCGTCTTTGAGCATAAAGTTCATATCGATAGTCATTAAAAGGCAGAACTATCATATCTCAGGAAGTTTACAGTGAGGATCATCTTTTGGTATACATTTCATATCTATAATAATTGAAAGACTATCAATCCATAATTTTGTATTTCTTACCATAATAATAAAGCCAGCAAGTATGCAGCATGCAAGCAAGAATGCAGCATATCTGTCACGGCTCCGGCGCTGCGAGGCTCCGGCGGTCCCACGTGAGCTTATCGTCGCAGATGAATTCAACACTCCACGAAACCACCTCCTCTTCAGCCCGCGGGCCACCCTGCCCCTCGGCGCCTACACGGGCTTAAATTTTACTCTAGGGGTAGGACAGACAAGACTACGTAGAGTCCGTTTTGCAGCGATTCGTTTGTGTCACAAACTTTTGTAGTAAGACATTATCACTTATTAAGATACTTTAATTTAAGGTTAAAATGCTACTTTAAGGCAATAAGCTTATTAAAATTATTCCAAATGAAATTCTACCTAATAATAGTCGCTCATAAATGTTATGCTAAACGAAATTATGCGGCATTTTAACTCTGTCAAAGGAAATTATGCTAAATAAAATTATGCGATCTTAAAAGTATGCCGTTGTAAATTCGGACATATAAACATTCGGCCAAACAAAAATTATACTAAATATTTGTGTTATGCAAAATAAATTTCGGAGTATCAAGTTCTGGCAGATAGAGGACACCCGTCCCTTACACCCTGCATAATAAATTATACCTACTTCCTTAATCAATAATGACACATTCTGATTTTTTTAAGCGTTATTTAATGCAGCATTTAAAGCATGACCTTAAAGGATTGTCTATAAAAACCCAGCTAAATATTTAACATTCAGAATTAGTGAACCATTATATAAAACATTTATGTTTAATGATAACCGCGATTACTTAACTCAGAGAATAAGACGAGTGCGGGCGTTCAAGCCAAGCTAATATCCACTCTGTATGGTAACAATTAATTTCAATTTACGATTTAGAGTTACAAGTACATATTTATAAAATAAAGATAAGTTATAACGACGCGTCACATTTTTATCATTAACATTGTAATTGCTTTAATTAAGCTTTGGTTAAATAGCACCGGATGATTTTATCACTATAAGACTTTATTATTTTTAAGTATTATATAGTTGCCTTCTAGTTTTATACTATTAACGGAGATCAGTTTTATGGCTCTGTAAAATCGACTGTCAACCACAGTTCGTGAGCATACTTGCAAGAAAGTGTAAGAATACTAGATCCTTTTATTGATGTCAAAAGAAATAATGATTTAAAGAGTATGATTATGAGAATGGTCTAAAATCATAAAAATTATAATTTGTAAGGTGATGTAAATAATACATTAGCCATACATATTAAATTATTGCTGCTAACAAAATATAAGTTACACAATTCAAATTAAATATTATATTCAAGGACTGGGTGCCCAAGGTATAGGCTTTTATAATTTACCCTGGCTAAATTGAAGTATCCTTCTTTTATTTATTTTTCTACATTTCAAATACCTATTTTATATTTTCTGTAACTATATTTAATATAGTGTTGTATGAGAATAAATATATAATTAAATTTTGCTATTTTTACACTAAATACTAATAAATATTATGTTTTACAGTAATAAATCTCACTCTATTTACCTACTGAGGATTTTGTTTAGTTTTCAATGCTCTGTATTTATAGATTACATATTACATACATGATTTATCTGACACGAATGTTTTACAGATTGTACTCGTGAACAAAAAAAAAGGGAAACCACATAATATGAACACGTGTAAACAAACAAACCTATCAGATTAATAATATTAATATTTAAAATAGGTACATGAAATTTGATTCAATTTTAAGTTGTTTAAGTAGAATACAGTCACTTTGAAGAAGTTACGTCGTAATGTTATCTTTCTGAGTAGTATAGAGACTGGCGGCGAACACGATGTCTCTCTTGATTGCGGTCGACGCTTCCATCATTTTGGCTTGAAGTTTTGGATCACCGATTGCCACTGCAGCATCCTTTACGTCTACCAGCAACTAGAATTGAAAACAAGGAAGTGTTAGAATACAAAGGTAGTTAGGTGTTTACAATAATTGGAGATGGATATATGTATATTATATTATCGTATACGAGTTACATGGTATAGAAACGAGTAGACCGGTCACCTGATGGTAATTTTCTACCTTTACTCATCTACATTACTTAGGAGCGGTTTCTTGTGAGGCCGTGGCATCACTCAGGTCTAGGCGGCTCGGCGCCAGCATGATTCTCCCAAAGTACATATCTTCTCAACTTCTTTCTCTGCTTCGTGCAGTCAGAATAACTAAACACTGGACTAACGGGCCTATATACATCATATGTTAATTATAGTAGCATATATCTATCCGTGTGGTGACGGACTAAGAATATGGAGTGTCACCGTTTCTATAGGACGGGAAGGGACACGTAAAAGCCGAGAAAGAAAACTTGACACAAACCCTATACGTATGGCCAGCCTGGTGTAGTAGACTATTAAATGCTGTTGATGTGACGTGTGTCATTTTATTTAATTAATTAATGCAACTCACTTCATGCAACTGTTGTATACACCTCACAATAATACCCTCTTGAACATCTGTGAGGTCCATTATCTCAGCGAAAGGCTTCTCTAGCGCCCACTCATATACAACTTTTACTAAACCGAAATTTAATCTCTCTGCTTGACCTTCGAACTGTCCCACCTAAAAGTAAAAACATAAGCTGAATATTCAAATTAAATTATTCTTCTGTATTGTTTGGTGACGGAAATAAGACACCTTAACGTGCGGCAAAGAAAATAAGTATTTAATATAAAGCTGTTTATTTTTAAAGAGTTTATTAGAGATTATTTGTTTTGCAATGATTTACGTATAATATAAACTAAAAATAGTTCAAACAATCTAATAGGTCTTTACCTATGAAATTAAAAAATTCAATTCTCGAGAGGCAGTACAAAATGCCTTTGAAGAGTTTGTTGCCTCCCGTCCAGCTGATTTTTACAAGAAGGGCATCAATAAACTGTCAATGCGTTGGCAAAGATGCGCCGATTGCATGGGTGATTACTTCGAATAACAGAAATAAAAAAGTTTGAAAAAATAAGTACTTTCACTTATTGCATACAAAACGGCAATTTCGTAGGTAAAGACCTAATATTAAAAAAACATTTTCTTTTTTGCTAGATAGTTGTAAAGTTTTGAAATGGGTGCAAATTAATGCAACTATAGTCGAACCGCCGTAAGCTTGGATGGTTTGCGGGACGCGGGGCGGGGGTACGCTCAACCAATTAGCTAGTGTGTCGCTGTACGCCGGCAGTGACTGACATAAAAGCATGGCTGTACATATTATTAATTTTGAGACTGCTACACACGGTATTATTTTGTTGTTGCATAATCTGCCGAGTTTAATGTTCTAATAAACTTCATTATTAAATTGTATCTGAATATAATTTACATTTACAAAATTTTACAATTAATCATAAAATCTTATTATATACTGCAATTATAATACATAGAAATAATTTCTACTTTTATTACATAGTGTGTTGATTAAATCTCTAACAAATAATTCTGAAGATATCAAGTTAGTACAACGTGTCGTGTATAGCCTAGCGCATTACCCGCCCCGCGTCCCGCAAACCATCGGGAGGGTCAAGCTTACTGCGGTTTGACTATAGCATATTTTTTATATATAACAAAACGATTTCACTGGAATGTAGACTAAGAAATGTCGCAGCATTACCGGTTGTTTATGCCTCTTATTTCTAAATAAGTGAAATTGCGTTATTTTTTGTATATCTCAAAATTACATTTAGCCAACCGCCCTCTAGCATTAACGAGCATGAATAGCACTTCCACTATCGACGCAAATGGCAGAAAAGGAATACGAGGTCAGCATATTGCGCAAATGTTACCAATTTTAATATTTGAATAAATTTATAATGTTAATCATACCAGATATTTGGCCTCAATTTGCGTCAATTCGCGGTCAATCTCTTCGATAGCCTTGACTCCTTCAGATAGTTTATCGGTCAACTGTGTGAGTTCTACTTGCGTCCTTGCTTGAAATACGAAGCAACTGAGTAATGCTGCTATCTCAGCTGGACTCTTGTCAGTAAATACATTTCGAAACACTAGTTCTGAGATTATCAACTCATTGGTACCCATACCGCATGCCACACGTCCTATAAAATAACAAAAAAATAAATGATTATGCCTGTATAAGGAATAGATATGTGTTTAACATTATTTTATTCGGTTTTAGTTTTATTGGTTATATATTTATGTTATAAATGAAGCGTAGTCATAACAAAGTTTTATTCTGTTTGTCATGTGACCTTCCGATGCAATTGTTTAAGTTCGACTTTTGATCTCCAAATGATTTTAATTTTTTTGATCTATGATGTAATCTATTTCAGTTATATCCATATATAATATATAGTAGGCCAAAACCTCCTTTCTAAGGAGAGGCCTATGTCCAGCAGTGAACTATTAAAGGCTGTTGATGTGATGATGTGATGAAGATATATTTATAATTTTAAATTTGGTTTCTATATTCTTTAAAACTCAAAAGGTTGAGCTCAAATTTTAACACGGTAAACAATCCGTTTCAAGGATTGTTTTATCCATTTTTTGCATCAATTTGGTTCCTTATTTTACATCATTGTTGCGATACCTAAAATTATTTAGAATGAAAATACAAATTTGAAAAACGTACTTTCATTCTCTGGCAATGGGTGAAACATTTATTTAACTGTCTAGCCAAGTAGACATCAGTATATGGCATATGGCAATGAAAATTGGTCTATCTCTGAGGAAATTTCGAAACTGTGATCAACTCACCTTTAAGTATAACACTGTCATGCTCATCAATATAACTGAGTTCTCTAAGCACCATCAAACGTCTCTGATAGTCAGGGTACAAGGCAAGGTTCTCGAAAGAAAGCAAGCGTTTGTACTTGTCACGTTTTCTTTCTGTCATTTTGCGCTCATATACTATTGCGAACTCTCTTTTGAAATTTGCAATATCTGTACATTTCTTTTGTTCTTGTAAATCACTCTGGAAAGAAAGGTTAAATGAAACATAATTTTTTAGGATTCCGTACCTCAAAAGGTAAAAAAGGAATCCTTATAAGATCACTTTCTTGTCCGTCTGTCTGTCTGTCCGTCTGTCCGTGTGTCACCACCGATTTTCTCAGGAACGGGTAGACCTAGCAAGTTGAAATTTATACCAGATACTGAAGTTAATGGTCTCTATTGGGTGTATAAAAATCAAGGTCCTGAGTCAACACGATAAAAACTGACAACCAAAATTGTCAATTCTAGGTCAACCGGAAGTACCCTATAGGTTTTGGGTCGAAAACCTATATGGTAGTTCCCGTTGACCTAGAATCACGAAATTTGGTAAAAAGAAACGTCTTATAGCACGAATAAAGGAATAATTCCAAAAAATAAAAAAGTTGATACCCAGATAAATTTTGGTACTTGTAAACTTGGTAAATTTTCGCGAAAATCTACGTAAAATCTGGGTAGTTACGGAACCCTCGGCGCACGAGTTCGACTGGTACCTGACCGGTTTTTTTTTAAAAAACAAAACAGAAAAATCTAGAAATAAACTTGTTAATTATTAATTAACTTTTTTGTTTATGAAAAAAGATATAGGTATACTGGATTGTTTTTATAATAGGTATACTCGTACAATATCTCTAAATGGATCTCGCCGACTATTCCTCTACTACACCCGATCTTAAATAAGATGATCTTGAAAACACAGTAATAATTTATATAAAATAGTAAATATTATAAACTGAAAAAAACAAATAAACATATACTAACGAGGCACTTATTCATTTTATCCAAGGATTGAAGAATCTCGCCTGTAGTAATAGACAGGGATTGCGTGAGGCTTACGTATTGTAATACGGTGGCACCGCTACATACTGCGTGCGATATGCGAGATAATTCTTGCACGGCACTTGTGCAAGTAGAACCGACAGGCGCATCTTTAAATCTGTGTAACAAAATAAATATTAGTAAAACTCCACGTATATTTCCGGGTCGCCTGACTAGTTTTAAACCCAACGGGGGCTGTTTTTCAACGGACCCGTCCCCGATGTGACCGAAGGGAACTAATCTAGTCGGGCATTGCTCTAATACGCACGTGAGTAGAACCGTTTAACATTTTTTATTGAATTATTTTAAGAAGACAACTCGTGCATTAGGAATATATCTTGCGTCGCGGGGGACTTTATAAACATTCATGGAACGGACACAAAGTACACCCAGATTCAAAGCAACAATTTGTGTGTAACACAAAGTGATGTCCCATGTGGGGATCGAACTCACAACACTCAGCGCCGTAGGAAGCGGCGAGGTGACCGCTTAAACATCTACGGCAGTCAAACATGCAAAACAAATAGTTTATAAATTGCACGGGTTCTTCATCTGTATATATAAAAGTAGTAAGTTGGTTTGTGTACGCTTCAAAAACTTAAAAAGTGCTTCACCAATTGAGCTCAGATTTTGATACGATATACAAACCGGCTCAAGACTGGTTTTATCAATTTTTCGCATCAGTTTTGCTCTTTATTTCTCATTTATCAATGCAACCACAATGTGGTACAGGGTACAGCTAGTTTGAAATAGTTTTGTGAAACCAATTTTTAGGAAAATTTAAGATTATTATGTTAAATGTTCCTGAAACATTGTACAATAAACTAATGTCTGTTTATAGAGTAAAGGTCTTTGAGTACTGTAATATGGAAACTATACGTACGCGGTACATACATAAAATAAAATGGAATGGACAGGTAATTGACACTAGTTTACAAAAGTATGGGTCGAATGGTAGAAAGATCTATAAATAAACTAAAATATTGTCAAGATAATGAACAACGATTGATATATTAGCTAATAAACATGACAAAAAGCAGTGATTTTTGGCAATCTACTCAGAAACAAAATTAAAGTCGAGACCTCTTGTGAGTGTGGTGGGTGTCTAATAAACAAACCGATATCGCTAATGCATTCTACCAACTATTCAAAATATATCAAATCGGGTGATCGATGATGAGGGCATCACTAGGGACACTACTGATAGATTTTCTCCAAAAAAAGTTTCTTTAGTTATACAGCGGATGCAGAGAGGTAAGTCCCCTGGTCACGATGACCTCAGCATCGAGCATCTGGGAGTAAATTGGTCACGAGTACATTTATTACTTTTAGTTTATGTATTAAGCCTTACCTCATTTTATAGAGCTTAAAATTTTAACCTTGTCCTGTATCTACATTTCTGAAATCTGTAAATTTATTAGACAACACCCAGAGTTCTATAGCAAAAGAGAGGACATACAAACCAAAATGAGACTTAGACACGGACTTACCTACCGTCTTCCCGACTCATAATCATCATCAAGCCTAGTGAGTCATGTCCATAAAAATATGTAATAAATTACCATAAAACACGAAGATATATATAACAGCTTCACAAAATCTTTTACTAAGTAAAAGCTACTACAGTATAAATTACATTTTAGAGGACGAATTCGCTTAAGGCAAAATATTACTACTATTATTAACCTAAGTTGTTTGTGTGTAATTATATTTAGAAATCTAAATTAAAAAATAACATTATAATCTATATTTTTATGTAAGCTTATATATATTAATTATATACTAATTTATATACTAACTACTACTAACAATAGGTAAAAACACTATTAAATAAGTAAGACCTCTTCTTCTCTCCTGCTGAGCTATGTTGCTGTGCCCAAGGTTTCACAATTGTTACCATTATAGTCCATCTAATCTAAGAGGTACCATTTGAGAGTTCTGACAGGTCGAATAATAGAAAGAGTGTCAAAGATATCGATTACTATAATATCCGATTCTTAAGAGATATCGATATAATTTCTCGTGTATTTATTAATCGATTACAGTTTTACAGGTTTATGTATGTTACTGAAAAAAGCCGTTTATTATTATATCTCAGCTTTTACTAGTACATCTTAGTATTTACCAATGTGTCTGCACACATTAGGTAAATGTCAGAATTTTATATAAGAGATAATTGTTTAGGCTTTTCAGTTCGATAACCTGGTTAGGTTATGGAACTGATAAGCTCAGATTAAAAAAAAAAATGTTTTTTATGGAGACGTGGACATGAGCGATTTTGCCCACAAAGATTTATTTAAAATTACGTTTACTTAAATAATTTTAATTATGCGTTTTTGTTGACAGTTGGATGTCAGCTGAAATTTAAGTATTATTAATGCTAAAAGACACCTGGATTAATAAATTTCGATTCGATTATTCCCACATTTAAACGAATATTTATGTACAAATAAATTTGAAGAGTCGTAACACTACGAGAAAGGACCTAACTACGTGTCTTTGTAACGAAGAATATGTTGTATAAAAATTGTACATCTTGTGATAAAATAAAAATATCTTCATAATGAAATGGTTGGTAAACGGAAAAGATTATTGAAATTGTGTGAGTAACGCCTATGCAAGGTTGTTTCGTCTTGAAAAGTATGAAACGTCAAATGGTACCTCTTAGATTAGATGGACTATAATGTAAGTTTTATACCTGTACCATACATTGTGAAATGCAATAATGAATTAAGAAAGCATTGCTACTTACCTAATGATCTCATGTATACTAAGGTGATACCTATACAGAAAAATAAATCTGGTGATGTTTATGACATTTTCAATTACAGGCCCATACAGGCAACTATTATAGCCAGTGTTAGACAGTTTGCTTGATTAGCAATGAGTGACATTATCTTTCTTTCTTTCATGTTTACCTGGGTATTTGTCTCCTCTCCCAATCGTCTATAATAACTTTGGCATCGATTTTCAGATTTATTTTGGTAATAGCCACGATATTTTTATGTGCTACACATAATATTGTGTGATCAAGCGTGCTTTCTTCAGTCCCTGCAATTTTTATTTATTTAAACAAGGAATCCACAAAATCAGTTTTTAGTTGGTTTATATAGATAGTTCGATGCAATTTAAGTCGAAAATTCGTTTGGTAATACATAATTTATGAACAAGGTTTGCTGTGTGCTGGAGATGTTTAGCGTTTAGATACTCGTATAATTTCATGTATGAACGCCTTATGATTTAATGTTAAGGCTACAATTTACATCGTCTGTATCGAGACGCGCATGCGACTTATGTTAGTTTGATAAGCTTCTTCTAATCTTCACACTGTGTCAGGACGCGTGATCACGTCTTATCCAACTACCTTATTCTTAAGAAAACACTATGCGTAGATTAGAAGATAATAATATCAAGACGAAGGATACTGTTGGCAAATTTGGAGAAAAAAAAAAGAAAATCGGGAAATAGTATCTCCTAGCGAGATCATCAACCACTGTCAAACCAATTGAATAGTATTTTGTGACTAAAACTGAAACTGAAATAGCGTCTGACTTTTGTCATTTTTTGATACTCATTTATCGAATACCTTCATTTTTAAAGTTTGAAATTAAATCCTTTAAAACCGGGCAACAAATTCAAGTTTAATAATACAGAACAAAGATTCACACAAAAAAATGTGTGCCGAAATTTCTGTATATAAGTATATATACTTTGGTTTTGTATTATTTCTACCAACAATAAAAGGTAGGTGTGTGTGTAATGAGTACTTAAATTGTATTACAAAGTAAAGTACAAACTACCTATAAAATCATATGATGTACCGCTAACATAAAATATCTACTTCAGATAGAGGTGAGAGGGCACTGACATCTGTAACACAGGTTCATACCTTTTTTTTTTTTTTTTTTAACGTGTGGAAATCCCCTCGGACCGTCACCCCTCCGGGGTTTGCGGCGGGGTGGTGTGTCGGACTCGGACCGACTAAAACCACACGGTGTGCCACTCTGCGCCTGTAACAGGAGGGATCCGGGAACAGCTGTTGTTAAGACATCCGGACCCCTCCTAGCGCCAGCCCGCTCCTGGTGCGGGCTCCGTCTCAATGTAGATGTACCTCTCTTTAGGCGACGTCCGGCACACGCGGACGCCGCCCCCTCGCGGCTGGCCAACTAATGCGTTTGGAGGGGAAACCCACCCCGTCCACCCGCGGCCACACTCAGGGCGGCATGAGGCTGTGGTAGGCGGGCCTCCGCCGCCCGGTTCGCCGGCGGCGGATCGGGTCCGAGTGGAGGTCGTCCTCCCGGGCCCTCTCCGCCGCCTCCTTCCGCGAGATTACTACCTCGCAGAAGGTTGCGACCGCGGTAAAACAACTGTCGCTACCGGCCATGGAGCGTACTACGGCCGGTAGCGAGAGATCCACTCCGATGACTGCAGTGAGGGCCCGGCGCTGCGCCGCCCATGCGGGGCAGACCGCCAGCGTGTGCTGGGCCGAGTCCTCACTGCAGTCGCAGTGGTGGCAGGCGGGACTCAGTTCCCTCCTAGCGACCGTGTGCAGGTACTTTCCGAAGCAACCGTGCCCGGAAAGCACCTGCGTCAGTCGGAAGGAAAGGGTCCCGTGCTGCCGCCCTGCCCACTCGGCGATGACCGGCTGGAGAGCCTCCACGGCGGCGAAGCCAGCGCGTGGAGTCTCCAGCCGGAACGACCAACGAGCCATCGTGGCTCGGCGAGCGGCTTCGCGCCACTCGCGCACATCCTCGGGCGGAGGGCGAAATCCGCTCTCCGCCCGGGAGTCAGCCACTCGCCGATAAACTTCGGCGAGCACTTCCGCCTCCAAATCCCACGGGGGAGTTCCGGCCAACGCGCATGCCACCTCCGTAGAAACGGTGCGGTAACCGCGTATGGCTCTGACCGCCATTACCCTCTGAGGGCGCCAGAGGCGTACCCTATTCTGGGCGGTCAGAGCCGCCGCCCACACCGGTGCACCGTACAGCGCCATTGACCGGACAACCCCCGTGTACAGCCGTCTTGTCGCGACGCTGGGTCCACCCATATTGGGCAAAAGTCGCCCTAGGGCAGACGCAGCGCCGACCAGCTTTGGAGCAAGCTGTCGGAAGTGCTCGTCGAAGAGCCACCTCCCGTCGAGGATCAGGCCCAGATATTTCATCTGGGCCCGAACCGGTACGAGGACCGAGTTGACCACGATTGAGGCGCCAGGGGGTGGACCACGACGGGGCCCATGGAATAACAGGGCCTCCGTCTTATCTAGGGCCACCCGTAAGCCCAGCGCCTCAATGCGCCCGACCACCAGGGAGACTCCCCCTGTGGCCAGGCGCGCCGCCTCTTGGAATTTTGCCCCCCGGGCTGTCACGAGGGTATCGTCTGCGTAACAGATTACACCCAGCCCGGGGGGGAAATCGGCGCGAAGGGCCCAGTCGTACCCTATGTTCCACAAGAGGGGTCCAAGAACAGACCCCTGTGGAACACCGCACGACATGGGCCGACACCTCAGATTACCTTCTCGGTCCTCGTACACGACGGTACGCTCCTCTAAATAGTCTGCCACCAGCCGCCTCAGGTACTTTGGCACCCCATGATAGTGGAGTGCTTCCCTGATGCAGCTGAATGGCAGACTATTGAATGCGTTGGCGATGTCCAGTGACACCGCCAACAGCACGCCGCCACAGCTCACGGCCTCTTCGGTCACGGCCCTCAGGAACACAGGTTCATACCTAACTCAACCAGAGACTTTAAATTTTCTTGTGTAAGCAGTTTTTGCAAATAAAAGTTATTTAGTATTATTATGATTAAAGGAAGAACTTTTGTAAAATTGTAATTTGTATAAAAACATTTACCTATTGAGTCGTACAAGGCCGAAAAGCTTAATACTCTGTACCAATTCTCGTCAACTTCGAAGTTGTATACTTCGTTGTCGATGACTGCGGTGTTCAATACAAGTACTCTATACGGACACTGTCTCGGACCTAAAACAAAAAACACATTACCAGACTTTTTCCTAAAACTAAGAACCCGAAGAATCAAATGACACAGGAAAATCCAATGACCCAGCAGCAATACTACTATCGCAATATAAAACACGAAACAAATAGAATTACATTTCGCTAACAATTTTGTTTGTTTCTAAGTTGCAAAGAGCTTTTAGAATAGAGTGAAAACAGATGATATTATTATTACTTATATTAATCGTCATATTATGTGACATTGTGGTAATGTTGATAGAATAATTGAAATTGTTATTAGTTACATGGGAATTAAATAGATAACAATATTATACATACAAGTGACAAAAATATTTACCAATAGTATTCAGAAGCACACCAAGTTGATTGATATACGGTCCTTCAGATATAACAAGTATCTTTCCAGGCACTAACTCCTTAGCGACTTTAGCCTGGTTTAGCAGTATCGGCATGATTTCATTCAACACATCCATGTACATTGCAGCTGTATCATAAAATGTGGCGAGCGGCGCTAGGTGGGCAGCCAGCGGTGTACTGCATTTCTCGGAATATTCCTTCTCCGCTAACTGCAGTTGCTTCCTATAGTTATCAGCTTGGCAAATTTGGCTGAACTCACGGAAGGAGCGTTGCATCATACCTTCAACTGAGACTGTGGCTGCTCTGTAAAGATAAATAATATGAATCATTGGTATAGTTAAAAATCTTTGCTACTCTAGACCACCATCTACATCCGAATAAAGAAGTAAATACTTGCAAATGGGATTAATCTTAATTTTTAAAACTTCTAACTGTAACCCGCCACACGTAGTGGCACATTGTGCTTGTATTGATGAAAAATGAAGAACAAAACTGACGTGAAAAAGATTAAAACAACCTTTCAAGCAGGTTGTATACGGTGTCAAAATTTAAGCTCAATCACTTTTAAGTTTTTGAAGCATACACAAACCAACTTAGCATTTTTATATATATGGATAGTTAAGTAATACTAAAACATGCCAAATTATAATATTGTTATTTAAACTCTGAACATTTACGTAACATATACAAAGATTAATTACGATATGCGTATCACATACGATACGATTAGAAGTAGGTTAAATTTAATTTCCAAAATTTAATTACAGTCACAAATGAAGCTAATAAAAGAACATTGCTCTTGACGCCTATAATATCTATCTATCTTTTCTCGTCATCCATACTTATGATAGTTCAAATTATTTAAATTCTACTTTCAAGTGTTAGTTCTACCACTAAGGACAGCTTTATATGAAAGTTTTTTCTTTTGTTACAGACAAAAAGAACACGGTACGCAGAATGGTTAAAGCACATAGCAGGCTTTTAAAAACACGTCTACCGTAAGCCTAAGCCCCCATTCGATGAACTTTACAGCGTAGTGAAACAATTCTTTTAGAAATGATAGCAAATTATGGAGTTTAATAATAGATTTCTTTACATTACTCACCTTAACAAACTTAATATCATAGCATAAGTTAGCCTGAATTGTGAGGAGAGTTTTTGTGGTATGCCAAGCATCATTCCTTTTAGAGCAACTAAGGGGGGTACGCCATCTTTACACAGGATTATCACAGTTCCTGTATCGTCCAGACCTAAAAGAAAAATATATGTATTTACTCATTGAGGTCACTCTTCGGATCCAGCAAAGCTAAGGTGTTTTAAGAGTAAAAGTAAAGTTATTGTGTAATATAACGTTATTATTGGTCGTATACCTCACAGTCTTACATAGTAACCGCAAGGGGTGAACTCTCATTCTCCTTCAGAACCAAATCCCTAAAGCTTACAAAGCGGTGGTGCTGTAGAGTGGTGTGACTGTGTTCAATGTTTTGACTTGTTAATTGAAAAATGCCATGACCATATTTTCATAAACATTTTTACCATTTTTTTTTACTATTTAATTAAATAAAAATAAACTAACCTCGTCTTCCCGCCCTGCCTGCCATTTGAATATACTCAGCAGGCAGTAGTGTACGTCGTTGCAGACCATCATACTTGGTAGTTTCGTCGAACACGACTGTGCGGGCAGGCATGTTCACCCCCATAGCGAATGTCTCAGTGGCAAATAGAATTTTTACCTATAATGATTAATATTTTATGACAAAATCTTCATTTTAAGTCCTCCATACAAACTAAGATAAGGTATCACGCCTCTCAAAAAAAAAAACGAACAGACTAAGCAAATATTAACATTCATTAATAACATTGCGCCGACTGTCCACACTACATCTCACAGATTATTAGTGCTAGAAACCTGTAACTTTGCATGAACATACATATACTAAGCACGCCGACAAAGTGGTAGAATAAAATCTTAGAATATTTTTTAGGATACCTCGAGTACCTTTAAAGATGTTATTTTTATATGCATTCATCCCGTGATGTGATGTGTATAAAAATAATAAGGGTTTGTGCAGACATTTTTTTTTATTAAGGTATGAGTTTGTGAGATATTGGGCATTAAATCGCTGTTTTTTGTTCCCTAGCCAAACGTCAGTATTATGAAATCTGAAAAAAAAAACCACGGTAGTAGCATATCTAACGAATTGAAAAGGCAAACTATCACAACTAAGTAGGCTTTATTAGTTAACGTGTAATAGTCGACCATAGTCGACCGTAATTCGACGTTTTAGGCTACTGAACCCGTTAATGTGAAATGTTTATAAGTGGACTTTAAGTCCTTATGAGAATAAAGTTCTTTAAACCTATATTAAATAACAAAACGCCTTTGTCTTATTAATATTTTAGTTCTATTTCTTTTATATTAGAACAATTATAGTGTTTAATACCTACATTAAAAAATAAATTTAACATATGTGAAATTAAATATATTGTACGGAATACATGACATATTAGTGACTGCCTCTGTGGTATAGTAGTTAGCTATCGTATGCTATCGAAGTAAACAACATGCAAAACGGTATCGGTAGGTACAATAGATTTTATTAGTAATTTGTTATCGCATAACAGCCCATGCATAACATTGACTGCACGGATGGCGTATAGGTTAAAGCGGTCCCGTCGCCGCTTTCTACTGCGCTGAGTGACAACACTCCCTTTTGACAAGTAAGTCGTAATAAAGCTGAAAAATATGTTCAAATGCGACATGTGACATGACTGACAAAATTTTTAAACTAAAAACCCATTTAATGAAGGCGACAATAGTCAGATTCTACCTGTCGAGTCCCTAACAAAATATTCTGACTCAATTGTCATAGTATATGACTAATAATTTGATACTTTTCTGAGATATTTGTCAGAGTACAATATCGAGGCATACATATGAGAGAACACGAGAGTAATAACAATTGAGAGGATTAGGAGTATTTAACAAAGATTAGAAATATGTTCGCGATACTACATAGCAAAAATGGAGGAAAAGGACAGTTGTAAGTACCTAATAATTATTTGGTTTTAAACATCTTTTATTCTTTCTTGTCACACCGCTCGTCCAGTAAAATATGCAGTTATTCTTATACACCATATCATAGAATGTAATTTAAAAACCAGAGTAAGTTTATTGTACTGTTTTTGTTTTATCTTAAAAAGAGAGAACTCGCTTGCACACTGAGTTAGTAGGAGATTAAAAGTTTAAATACGATGATTCTGTTGAATTGATCTTTAAAATAATAGTGGAAATAAAGCGAAATTAGTGGTAAAGCTCTTACCAGAAAAAGTTGAAATAGCAAAAAGAGAAAAATATAAGATTTGGAGTTGCTGAAGAGGGAAAAGAACAAACTGCAACAAAACCATCTGATTTTATACCTCCTTTATATTTACAAAATGTACGCTTTGCTGATTCTGTACCAGAGGAACACGAAAAGGATATTCACATCGTTTATTCTGTTTAAAGGAACTAATGATATTTTGCAGGAAGCGATAAGTAATACCTAATCTGTAAACAACTTTATGTCATACTTACTTTTATTAATAGCTGAAAATATAAGTTATTGTGTTTTTCAATAAGACATTTGTATTAATGACTTACTTTAAATTATTCGTATTAATGTAACTGCCGAATTACATTGTGTGAGTGTGCCTGTCGAAAATTTCTGACAAATATAATAATAACTTAACTTAAAAGTCTGTTTAACAAAGCAGATGTGACAGGTTTTTCAGACTTTGTTCACTTTTCGACATATTATTATGTCGGACTTGTTGGATTGTTAGGTTTATTAACCAGAGCCAAACTAGGGACCATTTAATTTTATTAAACAAAGTAAGGGTTTGATTAAACAAATAATAACTTGTCAACTGCTGCCTGTTACAAGAAACTGTACAAAAAGTAAACAAAAATATGTCAAATTGTCACGAAAAGTCGAAATATTTGTAGTTTCTATCCTGACAAATTTGTCAGTGATAATCTTTCTTAAACAAAAGAAATGACAATTGTTGGATTCTCACCGCCTCGCCTGTCAACTGACATTATCACGTTTATTCAATTATTATCAAACAGACCCTTTTCTGTACCTACTATTTTACCGCAATAAAATGAAATTAAAAACAATAGGGGTTAAAGTATGAGATTGCCGTTGTATATAGTGATAGATACATTGAATTGAAATAAAACCTTCATGGTGTGAGATTTTCATGTGAAAACTTTTTTCACACACAGCAGTCGCAGACGCTACCACTGCACCACCGAGGCAGTCGCTAATAACATTACAAATAAGGAAAGGAATCTTCACTGCTTTCTCCAAATAAGTACTATAAAAAATGGTGATACCTTTAGAGGCGTAGCAAGTATTCATTCTAAGGGGTATAAATCTGGGGAAGATGTCTTATAGTTTTAATGAGATTAGAAATATTTTATTTATTTATTTCAACATGGACGCAGAGGTAACCAAAGTCATTTTATTATCGACATACAATTTCTTCGGTACCCATCAAGGCAGTTACAACTGCAATAAATAAAATCAAATTTTTAAACAACCCATTTTCGATAAAGATAAGAGAAAAATATTTATTACTTTCTTATATCAATTACTAGATTTTTAATCAGCCTGAAATAATACCCATCACCTCCATATTCTGTCAAATAATTCATTTTTTTGTTCTTTCTGTAATCTACCAAGCATTACGTTTAATCATTTCATATTAAAATTTGACATCAATAATATTGAAAACTTACAAAACCTTGCTGAAACAACATTTCAACAATTTCCTTCAGCAATGGCAAGATACCACTGTGATGAACACCTATGCCATTTTCCAGCACCCTCTGTAGTCTTATAACCTGAAAAGTAAGATTTCACTGAAAATATACCTAGTACTTTATCACAGACAAAGTAAAAAATAGTTAAGAATATTTTATGATTTTTAGTTCAATATTGCAACCCTAATCAAATAACATAATCTCATCTTAAAAAATAGAGAAATATTCTTTTACAAGAAAAATAGAAATAAAAATCATTATAAATTTTTAGTATACCTGTGGTAATCGTCTGTCTGGCTCTTTTAATCTTTGGAGACATTTCTGAAAGAATGATCTTATGTGACCCTTTTCTTTGGCAGTTGTTAAGTCGACAGACATCAAATTTTCGGCATTTTGATCGCATCTGTAATTTAGAGGAACTTAACGTACTAACTAATACTTCCGATTTTGAAATTAAACTTAAAACTAAAATTAGAAGAATGAATAGGAAGGGATTTTCTACAATTTCTAAAGAATTTTCTAACTAAAGAAAAAGATTTTCTAGAATATCTAAGACGTAAACAACTATTAAGTACAAAACTTGCTTTTGATCTTTAAGTTAACTTATTTAAATGATTGATATGTAGTTTTTTTTTCATAGTCAGATGATTTTTATGGCGTTTTTTGTTAGACTACGTATGTAGCCCCTTTTTCTAATAAATACCTGTTACGGGACAAAGTAAATGCGACGACCGGAAGTTTTTCTTTCTGTTTCAAGTGATCGATAAAAGCTACCCACATAGTCTGTTCTGCCTTTGGGTTCATATACATTTTGCCACCTGAAATGTTCAATATATGTTTTTTTAAGTATATCATTATTATTACAAATTATATGATAGCATAATAGGTATAAATGAATGTGAATAAAGAATAATAGATATGAACTAGCTGACCCGGCAAACGTTGTATTGCAAAACAAAAAAAAATAGGGATGGGTCACCCTTACCATTTAGGGGTATGAAAAATAGATGTTGGCTGATCCTCAGACCTACCCGATGTGCACACAAAATTTCATGAGAATCGGTCAAGCCGTTTCGGAGGAGTACGGGAACGAACATTGTGACACGAGAATTTTATATATAAGAAGATATATTTCTGTGTGGCAAATATTTCATGAAATGAACCAATCATTTGACATCATAAAGTCAGACATTTTTAACTTTAGGCAATATAAAATTCTGATTTTTTTACACCGCAACTTTTACAAAATTAAATCTGGAGCTTTTTGAGACTGGCAGATAAAACAGTCACTCATAACAGGAGAACAATACACAAAATAGATTGCGATTACATAAAGCAAATATGGCGCTACTACGTAAGAGTGATTCCATCAGATTAACTAAAAAGCTTGAATAGTAATATTTTCAAAAAACGTTTACATGGCTTTCTAGTCAATAATACCTATTATAAAGTTTTTGATTTTCTAGAAAGTAAAAATGTAGCTAGAAAAACAAATTCATCTTCTGGATATACATTTTGTTGACATTTTTATTCTTATTAATCGGCTATCTACTGCGATGGGCACAGTATTCCATATAGCGACAAAGTCAAAAACTTAGGAATCTATTCTTGTCAAGACAAGTTCTTGTCCTGGGCCCCCCCGATTGGTGAGGTCAGTCGTAAATTATTTGCTGCAGCGGGATCTCTGCGAGGACTCCGTAACCATTTTCCTAACGATACAAAAATGGCCCTAGCATAATCTCTTCTTTTTCCCATCATAGACTATAGTGATGTTACCTATCTAGATCTCAAGGAAGACCAATTAAATAAACTTGAGCGTCTCCAAAATGTCTGCATTAGATTCATATTGGGCTTACGCAAATATGATCACATCTTTGAGGATCGTATTAAGCTTAAATGGTTACCTATACGCCTTCGCCAGAATGTTAGAAGGTAAATTAAGGAGAACGATATCGAATGTAATATTAACACCAGTGTCTCACCTTGATCAGCAAATAAATGATTTATTATTATTAATTATTTTCATTCTAAGGGGAGCTTTTCTTTTTACAAGGTATGAATGACATAGTTGATTTCAGGATCCTTTTACATACCTTTAGGTCCAAAGCTCTTTTTGTATTCAGTTTCTCTGGCCTTCTTAGCAGCAACAGCTTCGTTGTATCCTCTTAGTTGGAAGTTGCCTTCCTGATCCACTACTAGGAACCTTTCGTTCTTTGATTTACCTCCCGTACCTAAGTGTAATAACACACAATGTAATATTTGACATATTTTGGTCAATGCTAAAATTAAACGCATGTTGCATGCATGCAATTATACGAATACGGATACGGAATGAATGGATGTTTTTGGGTTCAGTGCTATAGGATGGATAGCAAATTGTTTTTAAAAATCAATTGGCTCATTAATTGTTTGTGATGTGTCTAGGATGTACCTAAGCATATGTCATTTGCATGAATGCACTTTTTATTACACATACTTTTGCCTATACACGACTCTAACCCATTAGTTACGACACGTAGTTATATGATAACAACAAACCTGTGTATAAGTAATGGCAAAGCGGTACAGGCCGCTTTGGAGTCGATACTACGTATACTTTGCGTTTCTTGGTGCGTCCCACCCAGTCGGCAAACTGTAGAGTATTTGGTACGGTTGCACTCAACATCACTATGCTTACGTGGGCTGGTAGTAATATAAGTACTTCTTCCCAAACGTACCCTCTCTGTTGACATACAAAATATAAACTTTTTTTAACCTTGATCATAATGTAATTATTTGTTATTGGCTTAGTTTATCTTTAACTATATTTAAGTTATAATATTTGTGTATTTCTTAATAACTAAACTTTTATGTATACAAAATAAAATTTGTATAAAACTTCTTCAGTGTTTCCATTATCAAATAAATAGAGTGAAAATCCTCCTTTTATTTAACTTGCAATGTTTGTGTGTATCTATGTGAGTTCAGCATGAATCTTGGAAGCTAACTTAGTACCACTTCCATATACATAGTGTATCTTGAGTGACAATACAATAATATGGCACCATGGAACTGTTCTGATGATGGATCTGGCAGACGGCCACATTAACTTTTTAACTAAACAATACTTTGGTGTTCCATGACTTCCAGGGTCAATAAAAGCTTGTTTAAAAAAAAACCTTTTATAAACCATATCATACAATTGTAACTTTATTCAGCGAGTATTCACTAAACCTAGAATACCTTACGGAAAAGCCAGCATATTTACCTCAGCATTATTAATATAATGAACTTCATCGAATATGACGAATTCTAAATCCCTTGTAACATCCGACCCACAGTATAACATGGAACGTAGGATCTCAGTGGTCATGACAAGACACGAGGCGGTAGCATTGATCTGCAGGTCACCTGTTAAGAGGCCCACCTCGCCAAATAGCTTGTTGAAGTCATTGTATTTTTGGTTTGATAGAGCTTTGATCGGCGAAGTGTAGATTGCTCTGAAAATTAATGGTTAAAATTTACAAATACGCATATTTTCAAAGGAATTTTAACGTTAGTAGCCCCTGCCTGTAGGTTTTTATTGCGCATTGTTAATTAAAACAGACTTTAAATGCTATCATGACTTGGTTCTACAAAATGAAAAACTAAAATATTACATCTGTAATAAAATAATGAGTTAACAGTGCTTGTTAATTATAGTGTTTATATAGCGAAGCAATTCAAAAAGAATTTTGTGTCATCTAATGATAAGCTAATGTAAAATTTCTCTGAAAATGTAAAGTTTTTAAACAAAATCCTAATTTGTCCTCTTTTTATGAAAGACATAACTTAGAGGTGCAGTACACACTAAGTAGGCTTTGAGAACTAACTATTGTAACATAACAACAGCTAACTAAATGTATTACCTGGTACAGTTCCTCCTTGACATAGCGATAGCATATTCAGCAACAACTGTTTTCCCGGCAGAGGTATGTGCCGCTACAAATACGTGATGTCCTTCTTCTAGTTTTAATATAGCCTACAAATAGATGTAAATGACTAATGATGAAATGGTAAAGGATCGTCAGAATAATTAATTAATCTTTAGATGTGTGCATAATAAGCAGTCAGGAAATTAAGATTATTTTGTCTAAGTAGTTTTAGTGTTATTTTATATTAGCTTTTGCTCGCGGCTCCGCTTTCGTGTCGGTTAACGCGGTAAAAAGTAGCCTATGGTACTCGCTGATAATGTAACATTGCATTGGTGAAAGATTTTTTAATATTGGTTTAGCGGTTTAGGTGTGAAACCGTAGCAAACAAACAAACTCAGTTTCACGTTACTTTCACTTAGTAAGTAAGTAAGCTAAAGATCTATTAAGAATACCTGTTTTTGGAAAATGTCCAACTCAAATGGATAACTGTGGGCCATATCTTTGATCTTTTCCTTAAAGTCTGGCACAGGCTGTGAAACATCTATCATTTCAGCCCATTCAGTAGATGTCACACCAGTTTTTACTGATGAACTAGTAATGTTTAATATAGGTATCTCTGGCAACTCTACTGGTGGTCTGATAATTGTGTCCTCGAGGAAGTTATCATGATCACTTGGGTTTAGTTCAATCTGTTTTGTGGGTTTCTTCGGTGGTTTCTTTTCAGGCTCCTCTTCATCTTTCCAAAGATCTGGAATATAAATAAATTGTATTTATTGTAAATTTAAAAACATTATGGCGGTATGTCATGTTTTTTGACCCCAACACTTCTCCTTGTCACCACTGTTTATTTGTGAGACTCCCCCTTCTCATTAGAAATTATTAACATCAAATCAAACTTTAAAAAAAACAGTAATAATGTACAGCAATAATAGTCAATAATAATTGTGAAAACAAAAAAACATGAATTATTAGCTTTTATATATTAGGTTTGGAAATATGACGCCAATAAACTTAGGACCCTCCCAATTCTTGTCACACAATGTCACCTTAACGTGTGACGTAATTTATGGGTGGGCCCTAATAATATATGACTATGTCATGAAATTTATTTATAGATTTTTTATGGTATATTTAATTTCCTTGTCTCTAGAGGTGTACATATATTTTATTTGCATATACATGGGTGTGTCTATTTTATAATTATAGGAGACCACATCCTAATAATTTTATCATATGGAACTAGCCAGTTCTTTTATAATTATTTATTAAGGAATTAATGCCATCAATACATTTCAAAGATCAAATTCAAAAATCAAATCAAATTCATCTATTCATTTCATGGTGGAGTTAAACATGTAGACCGTGTTTAGTTTTTAATGTAAAATCATGCATTTTCATAAAATAAGATAAAGGTATAAAATGAATTTACCTACTAAATGTGCATTCGTATCAACAACCTCTTCTAGATTAATCTTGACATTCAAGTCAATTTCTTTATTCTCTGGCTTCTTGACCACTTCTTTATTTGGGTCATTCAATAGCGTGTAGCCATCTTCAGCAAACAATACACTTTCTTTATATCCTGGAACTCTGTTTAAGATATCTGGAAATTTATGTTAAATAATCTGTGTATTTTAATACTTGCAGCCATATTTACCTTAATTCACAAAAAATCCTTTTAATACAAATAAAAAAAACAGTATAAAAATTGAAAACAAAAAATTTCAAAGAATTGATAATATTAACGAAAAATAGGCATGTGTTTCTTGTGCACATGCATTTATTTTTCATGATTACTCTGTGTAGTTTTCTGCAAGTTTTCCTGATTCTGATCTGCTTTTTTGCAGTTATATCAAGCTTGTGTGTGTGCTGCATCCCATTATTGGTCTACTTTCTTAGCGCTTCTTTCTCTTCTTAGGCGAGTTATATATTACACATACATACAAATCACTGAATCAATTATTTAGATTTTGAGTTTATCTTCTATTAGCAAACATTTTTTTAAATTCTTAGGATTTTAATATGCAGCTCTGCAAATCAAACCTGGTTGCGGCAGAAAAAGATGCCAGTGAGAGTATACCACACCCCTGTTAAACTCATAACAGCAGCACAGTCCTAGTGTACTAAATTAAAAAAAAACAGACTGTCATTGGGCTTAACACTCTGCATTGGTATCTTCCAACCGTTAATGCTATGTTGCTGTTCCTCCACCTCCTGTCTGCTTAAATATTTAATCAACCGTGAACAAGGATATAAAATAAATTCTATAAAAACTAGATAAAACCTAACTGGTATCTAACTTACCTTCACCCAAAAATTTCCCAGGTTCTTCATTGTCTAGATCTATATTAACATCTCTAGTAGCAGCTTCATCAAGCATCTTTTGCAATTCTTCTTCAAAGCCTGCCGGTAGGAAAGGACTCTGGGTAGTAGTGCCCCTGGTTGATTGGCTTGGAGGCAGTGGAGCCCGTGACATAGAGAGACTGTCTTCGTCATCTTCAACAGGGATGCTCACTTCTTCTAATCCTACTATTTTACCTGTGATGGGATCTCTAACCACCTAAAAGTGTATTAGCACAGTATAGAAGTTTACCAAATATAGAATGATAATAAAGAAAAAAGTATATTATCTTATGGTTCCTGGTCTTTAAATTATTTATAAGTTAATATTGTCCCTTTAGAGATAAAATACATAAATAAGATACATACTAGTTTAGCAAATTCTTAATAGAATACGAGTTTAGCTTATTCCTAACACAGTCTCATCAGTCACATCTTATGAATGTAATCAAAATAATCAAGTATCTTTTCGATAACTGCTAAAAAAGAGTACACATACACCTTTAAGATTAATTAACATGACAAGTGGCAAAATATTGTAGATTAGGTGCAGTGACTTACAATAGTTGGAACTTTACATAAACCTTTAGGAATTTGCTTCCATAGATGCTAAACTAAACTCTATTATTATTTTGCGAATAATAAACTGTAGTGATGTGTTTACTATTACTCATTATTACGTACTTAGCCTTAGCTTTTACTGTTTTTGTTATGTATAAGTAGCAAGATCCTTGAGAAAAAGGCGAAGTTACTGAAGTAACAATTAGTAATAGAAATAGTGAAATCTAATCAAACTACAGTTTAGAAATGTTGAACGAAAATTATTCTTCTTTGACGAGTACTACTTGGGACTACCTTTTATTTACCTCAAGTGTAGTGTCAGATGGGAAGTCATCATTGTCGTAGATAAACAAGGAATCAACGTTAGTTTCACGTTGCCAGTGAGATTGAGACCTTTCCCATTGATGTATTGAAAGCCTTTCTGGCTTTAGCAAGTATTCCTTCAAGCGTTCATTTAGATCTTCAAATACCGGTGGCAACTACAACATATTGGATGTTAAGAATGCAGTTTTTAAACATTTTTTTACTAGTAGTCTAGCAACACCTACTTTGAAATCAGAGAATTCATTTTCAGTATCTAACGACATTTAGACAATGTTATAATAAATAAACATAAACGTTTTTAGCACTAAGGTTATTTTGATTCGATATAATCACTAAGACCAAAACAAGATGTTAAACGTCAAGATTACAGAGCCAGTGTTACCAAGTCTTCACTGCTGGGATTTGGCAAAAATATTAGTATACTCGTCCATATTTTTTTTTCGTGTTTTTAGTTTGGGACAGCACATTGTGAATTTTCACACAAAATTTTCAATCATTATTTTAATGAAGAGAGAATACGAACACGCGCATTTCTTAATGTGTAATATGTCCTTACTAATAAAAAAAAAATTAAACTAAGAGAGATTATTTTTGATCGATCCGAAACTATCGGCAAACCCAAAATGATTAAAACTTGACCTGCTTGGTAACACTGTCGAGTACTGCATTTGTGTACATCAAGACTGGACTGGACTATATTATAATGATGAATATTAATAGTTATGATCATTCCCCGACCATAGTTAAATGTACTCGGGGAATTACAATTAAAAATGAATGAGTATTTATTTGTAACCGACTTCAAAAAGGAGGCAATGAATTCGGATGTTTATATTTTTACACACTTTATATTAGCTTCACTTGTATGTTTGTTTGTGTGTTTGTACTCCTTTGGGCGTGATTTTAACTGACTTTAAACGGTTAGAATTCGTTCAAACTTTGTAGATATATCGAGGACCGATGACAATACACTAATTTAAAATAAGAATAAAAAATATTAAAAAAATAGTTTAAAAAACTAAAAAACACGCTTTTTATAGAAAAACTATTTTTTAGTTTTGTTTTCTATGAAAAGTAAAGTTATTTTCTATTCTTTAGTTTGGTTTTCTATAAAAAGCGTGTTTTTTAGTTTTTTTTTTAATGTGTGTTCGGCCATAACTCTCAGGATAGGATTTTTAAAATTCTATTTTTGTTCGATAGGGGTTTATTGCGAAATGGTCCCATTAAAATTACACATAGATCTGGTGATGACTTTCGCAGACAGGCAACGGAACTCTTCAAAAAATGACAATAAATCAACAGCGATTGCTGTTAGGTTTTAAGTGGTCTTTGTTATATTGTTTGAAGTCGGTTCAACCTTTTTGTAGTGAAAATTCTTTAGTATCGTTGTGATTTTGTGCGAAAATCTGATGAAATCAAATAGCGACAGTAAAAAGAGACAAACATATTCACAAATAGGATTTAGCCTGCGAGAGAATGAGATAGATTACTTTTTTATTAATAACTGAACTCGTGAAAGAGTCGATAAAACTTTTTCATACAGTGTAAAGTACTGAGCATTTATTTAACTCCTGTTAAACTTATCAAACTTTTTTTTTATTTTCGAGGCTCTAGCGTTGTTCATTCACGAAGTGTAAAGAACCGATAATTAATGTCATCTGGTGCAATAATCATCTTTCAGGTCTACCCTTTATAGTAGAACATTTTATGTCCTAATTTTATTTTGCATGACAACGGATAGCATAAACTTCATTTCGCAGATAATCGTTTGGCAGACACTCATTTATCATATATGTAAAACTCATCATTTTGTAAGTTATAAACATCTTTAGGCATAAACTTCATATCCATATTAATTAAAAAGTAAAACTATCATATATCTATACTGTATAAAACTATCATATCATAGTCAGAATCGTCTTTAAGCAAAAATTTATATCGATAGTCGTTAAAAGGCAGAAATATCATATTTTATGAAGTTTACAGTGAGGATTATCCTTTGGCACACAATTCATATCGATAATAATTGAAAGGCTGTTTTTCCTCATGTTGTATTTCTTACCCTATTAATGCAAGCAAGAAGGTCCCACGCGAGCTTATCGTCGCAAATGAATTCACCGCTTGGTTTTGCAGCGATTCGTTAAGACTTTACAATTTACTTTTTAAGATAGTATTTTAAGTGTAAAAATGCTATCTTATGGCAATATGCCTATTAAAATTATTCCAAATGAAATTGTACCGAATAATCGTCACTCTAATTAACGTTATGCCAAACGAAATTATGCGGAATTTTAATTCTGCAAAAGGTAATTATGATAAATAAAATTATGCCATCTTAAAAATATGCCATTGTAAATTCGGACATATAAACATTCAGCCAAACAATAATTATACTAAGTAATTTTTATACCTTAAAAGTATTCGTTTAAAGAAGATTCTGCCATGTGTGTTATGCGTAATAAATTTCGGAGCCATAAGATTCTGCTAGATAGAGGGAACCCTCGTCTCAGCTTTACTTTTAGTCTTTTAAGTACCAAGGTACTTACTTACAATAGGTACCTACTGAGTTTTAATTTTAATACACTAACTTTAACTAGAATCAATCGTAGATAATTAACTATAATACACAATTATACCACTACAACTTATGTTATTATTTTCCATTAAACACCATTATAAATACATAAACAGTGGGTAGTTGGATTTTTAATGCCTTACTAAGTTATTCGTTAACTATCCTCATTTCTGTTTCTATTATTCGAGGGTTTTGTTTGTTAAGTAAAGTTAAACTAATTTACCAAAATGGCTATAAGTACCTACCATAATGACTATTAGAGCACAAATGATTGCTTTGCATTATCAAGGGAAAAACCATAAAAATCGTAACAGCGAAACAATAGTAGTGATACCGACACCGATAATGAAATTAATGTACCCGAATTGCTGAACGAAGACTACAGAAATATTTAAGACGTGCCAATGCAATATGCATTGAAGACGATAAAGAATTTGACTCAGAAATCAAATTTAGTGACCTGGAGCATCAAAATGAAGAAGACAGCAAAACCGAGTTGCCACTATTGGCAAATATCGTAATATATGTTTTCAATGAAAAAAACCCATTTTCGTAGAATGATGGCAAAAAATGTGTTTGGCCTGTCGTCAATATTTTTATAAATCATTGTGTAATATTGATTAGATATTTATCTAACGAAAAATATTTAGCCCATAAGAATATTTAGTCAACTTTTATTATTTACTTTGATCTAAATTCTCTGAAAACATGTTTTTTTTTCAATACGTAAGTTCATTGGAAGTGTTGATTATGAATATGATAAAAATATGTTTTTCATTATCTATGCATCTTTTTAATAAAAAATACGTTAAAAAATAAAATCTGTCCTTAATTTTCTTCATACCTATATTTCTGTCACCAAAAAAGTACATAATAATGTAAGCGGTCACCATGGCCGACGTTAGGTGGTTATGTAACTCTAAAACACGCTATGTGGCTAAGGGTTAATTAAATTTCCATTTTGTTCAGTGCACTGGCTAAGTTCAAACCTGCAACCAGTTAATCGCCATTCCAACTCCTGGGCATAACGCTACAAGTAAATGAATTAATACTTTAATTCGTTTAAATTTAAATTTAAATTGCATTTTATTTTTAATTTACATATTATATAACTTTGAAGGCCTAATGTAACTTATGAATTTCATCATCATCAACCTATCGCAGTCCACTGTACCTTGTACCTTGGCCTCTCCCATTGCACGCCACTTATAGTAGGGGAGCCCTAGAAGGGATTTCGGGATTTACTCGAGCGTGGCAGATTAACATAGAAGGAATACCTTACACCCAATTTAGTACCTCCACTACATATGAGCCCTACATATATCCCCATGTCCATCGTCCAGAGCATTCCATCAGATTGGTAAAAAAATGTCTACAATGTCTTTTGGCTAGTATGACACGAACATCAAGCTAAGCTAAGCTAAGCTAAGTCTGTATAAAATCTAACAAGCTCGGGTATTTCGAAATGACGATTTTTTGAATTTACAGTTTGCATTTTCGAAAATTCGCTACCAGCTTGTGTCACTTGAAAATCGTCAGATCTTTCAATGGGAGCATTTTCCTCCCCTTACATGTTTGAAAACCTGTAGAATCTTTTCCCGATGCTGAAAGTGGAAACATTATATAGCTTTTATTCATTCTATTACATAATCTTTCAAATGTAATAGGTCCCCATGACCGTCGAGAAAATCGCCATTTAGCATCTTGGGCTCCCCTACTCCCCCCTCCCCCACCTCCCCCTCCTCCTGCCAGCCATCTTGTGCAGATATCGTCACTCCATCTGGCCTGTGGGTGGGGTACACTACGTTTGCCTAGACGCAGTCTCCACTCAAGAACTAGATTACCCCAAAATTTGTCGGTTCTGTCACTTCAGCTAGCTAATCCCACCGGATTAGCCAGCTGAAGTGCCCACCGGCTATATTGATGACCTTGGTTCTCTGGCGGATCATCTCATTCCTAATGCGATCCCTTAGAGAAACGCCGAGGATAGCTCTGTCAATAGCAGGCTAAGCGACTTTAAGCTTGTGGACCCACTTGTGAAGTCCACGTTTTGGCTCCGTATGTAATGACAGGTACGCACGCATTTGCCTCCTATGATTCCTGCTTTCAAATGCATGGGATCCTACTACCGATTCTCTGCAATTCTGTTCACCCTCTTTAGCGTTGAAGTCAGCCATAACCAGGGTCGCCGTGTTTGAGCGCCCGCGTGCAATGTCGATGAAGCCGGCCTATTTTACTTGCGGATATCGCTCTTCGGTTACACCCCACCAGACAACGGGTGGCCCAGGTGGGGTGGGTATGGATTTAATTTCTGATCAAGTTCTATTCTTATTTCATTCAAATTCAAATAATAATACTTTATTTCGATACAATAATACCGCGGCACATGGTGGCATGCCGCGGACGCCGCAACATCTCGTGTGCGGTTTCACTCAATATTCAACCATACTTGCTCTTGGCCGCTGCTGACTGACGTCATGGCACGGCAGGGCGTGCTTCGGCAGCCCGAAGGACGCTTTGGTATGACATGGCATCGCATGACCATCGCAGTGGTGGCACTCAAGCGATGGCTCTTTGTGGATACAGGTGATGTCCAAAGCATTCTTTGCGTCAGCCGGTATCAGAGGGCCCCGTGTTTCCTCTCAATCCAACCCTTCATAATGGGTCTTACCGCTGCAATAACGGCCAGGATTAGCCGTCCCGTAATTTCCAGAATGTAAAACAGTCGCCCGTAATCTCACGCCCGCGTTTTGAGTAATTCCAATAATAATTATACAATAGAGTACTTTTTTGTAATTGGAAGCTTACGTACACGGATCAATAGATGTTACTAGTAACGACATAATAAAAATATATTAAGATATGCAAATTCGTTTTGATATCTGTTTTTGCCGCCCGTGTGCGGTGCCACGCACTGCACAGCCGTAGCCGGACGCCCTGCCTTTCCTCTATCTCATGTATATTTGAATTTCAAATATTTCTCAAATATTCTTTTTAGGTTGTTTAAAAGAAATCGCTTTTAGCTTTGAGGTAGTCACAATAAACAATGTTCTATCTTTTTACATTTCTAAACTATTGAATCTTGCCTAAATGTGTATTAATTTGAATTAATCTTCCCGAGTGGCAAACGAGCAGACATCTTTCTAAAATGAAATCTTGTGTCATTATACTCGTATTATAAAAAAATATGTGGGAACCTGTTTGGCCAACCCCAAAAAGAAAAAAATACTGGCACTCCGGAGTGCCGACAGAAGTGAAAACTTGAAAATTCAAAAATGATTATAACAGGTTTTTTTGTTTTTTTCCGACATGAATATAGGTATATCTATGTTGTACGTATATACATGTTTATATTACATATACTTATATTATCAATGTGTATCAACCCAAACATAACTCTCGTGTAAACGGGGCCAATATATGTAGATACTTATATACAGTGTCGGTAACGGTAACAGAGTCGCGAGTTCAAATCTTCCCATCTTTATAAAATACATTCTTTTATTTATTGTTCAAAAATGCCCAACGCGCCTATAGAAGTTTTCACTTCAATTTGTGTCTTTTTGACGACGTCTTTTTGACGACTACCATTTAGAATACATATTTCGAACACCAGTTTATAAGCGGTCTATACAATGTCATTTACATATAATTCTGACGGTTAATGCCCCGTTCGTTTGGGCACATTATTATAAACTACACACAGAAATCTAAAAATATTTTAACTCGAAAATCATGTTTTCGTATGTGGATTGTGAAAAGGTCCGGTTTATTTAAAACAACTTATTAAGCTCCAGCGTTATTTTTTTTGTCAACCGAGAAGCTTCGATTAAAATAGCGTGCTCTCCTGCACTTTTGAATAAAATGCACATAAAAGATATTTGTGAATGTGGCTTAGATGAAGGTTTACTGCTTCACATTTTCTTCAGCTGTTCGAAATACACCAGCTCTTATAATATTATGACATTTTTCTAATTAAAATACAACCCGTCGTTAATATCCAATACATATTATTAATTTCTTTTTATAAATACAAATTATTATGTTATTTATGTAAATATATGCGTGTCAATATTATTAAAATATACATTGTATTATTATATTTTTACCAACAATAAAATGTGTTTCCTGATATAGTCATATCCACTTTATATCTTAATATTCATTTATATTTAAAGAAAGTAGAAATGAAATATGTTCATCACTTTTAAATAATTAACTACTACCAATTTCAAAACACTTGACATTGCAAATTGGCAGAAAGCTTGCAATAACTTTCATCACAATCTCATTTTTTGATGCTGTAAGTTAAAATATTTGGCTGGTACTTTAGTTAAGCATACTCCTTAAAACGATAATTTTAAGTATGAACACAACGTCATGAAATATGCAGTTAGTTTTGGAGATAAATACAATCTTTAACGCCGAAACTAAGTAGCACTCAACTAACATGGCCAAGCTTATTAAACAGTGTTCAGGTTTTTGGGTTATGTATTTACTTGAATTTTCTTCTTTCTGCCACTCATCGCCTGCTATTTTTAGAATCTTCAAACGTTCCTAATATGGCAAGTTATTAAATAAATTTAAAAGACGGCATACATTTATCTACATAATTCTCTCTGAAAATTACATTTACCAGTACAATGAAATATGCTTGAAGCAGAGATAAATACTACAGGTGGCTCCTCAATTTAGATATTTAGATTGAGAAGCCACTTTTACATTGATATAACTTTGGATATATCTTACCACAAATTTTAGAATCAGTCCTACAAAAATATTTTCTTACCTACTAAATAAAGGGTGAGTTTCCGATTAAAATTCGTTGAAAATCTAAAGTGCGACTTATGAAATTTTACGTTAGTCGGTCGTTTACGCGAATTATTCACGAGAACAGCGAGTACTGAAGAAAGCAGTAATAAACGTGCGAAAAGCAATGCGGTTCCACTTTCGCTTTCTAAGATAAACAGAAGCTTCACTTGCAATTTTAATTCTGGTTTGCACAATACAGTACGATACTCGTAATAGAGATAGGCAATATAAAGACTTACAATCGTTTGGTACATATTTATATTTACCAATCTACACATCTATACAAATAAAAACAATTGAAGTGTCTGTTTGTTATGTCAAAATAATAGGTTTTTTAAATGGTTATTTGCAGGATACCTATGCCTAAAAACCAGTTCATTTATTTTTTGTCTGGGTGTCTGTCTGTTTGTTCCGGGTAATTTTCTAAAAGGCTGGACCGATTTTGATAATATTTTACTACCAGGTAGCTGTTTATATAAGGAGTAACTTAGACTTTTTTTTACCTCTCAGAAAGACCCTTTAAAATTTTGCCCGGTCCGGGAATCGAACCCACCAAGCGCTTTTCAAATTCCACGCGAACGAAGTCATGTACAAGAACAATAATTAATTCTAAAAAGTAACTCAGAATCAATTCAACTTACTTAAATCTAAAGGTACGTAAAAATACGCTAAAATTAGGCAAATGGTTTGCCCAAACAACTAACATATCAATTGTCTGACTCAATTACAAGCAATTTATATAAAACATAATACCTACAGTACGTGTAAGTACCAAAGATGACGTTAATAAGCTGAATCAAATTGAATAAGTATGTTCTATCGTGCGAAGCGTGTTTTAATAATTACTTACGATCATTGTCATTGATTTTTTGTTGGGATTAATTTGCGAGCCACGAGAGGATAGGATCTGTATTTGTAAGTGAGTGAGGCTCGACGGTCAAGGTCGATAAGTGGTCCCTACTTCACAACTTCCATCTACACCTGAGCCCACTCATATGTTGTCTCCTCGTGGAGCGCTACTGATCGGCGCAAGCGCACCGCTTGTATATTTTTTATATTTTTAAAACAATTTGTTGTGCTTTTTGTGTTGTTTTATAATTGAACTGACCATAATGGCGTATCGAACGTGCGTCACAATTATATGTTTGTTAAATTTGGTTTTAGAGGTCGTCGATGTGGTTACACAGGTAAGAAGCTTTTTTACTACACTTAACAGGTATTTTTATTTCCTTTTGTAAATTAAAAAAAAAACAGTTATAAGAGTAAAGATTTTTAAGCAATTGTGTGTTAACTTTTTAGGTCTATATGTATCTATGTTAGAAATTAAAATGAAAGAACTGTATGTAACAAAATAATCGTAACTTTGTTAGTCATATGGTATTTTTTTGATTGTAGTTAATTATAATATATAAAATATATTGTTGAACATCATATTTTCTAAAAATACAATCCAGGCGATCTGAAAATAAAAAATATCTTTCAAAAAAATAGTTTAGCAATAACATGAATGGTGAATTTATGAAATTAGCAGTAGCTAGGCATTAAGAATATGAATAAGGATAATATAATTTAAATAAATTATTATTCGATTTCATCATCATTATCATCAATAGGACTGCACGGATAGCACAGTGGTTTAAGCGGTCACCTCGCCGCTTCCTACTGCGCTGAGTGTTGTGGGTTCGATCCCCACATGGGACAACACTTTGTGTGATCCACAAATTGTTGTTCTAAGTCTGGGTGTACTCTGTGTCCTTAGAGAGGAGGTTTTGGTATACTATACCACGCTGGCCACACGGGTTGGTATAGGGTTTGTTTCAAGATTTCCTTCTCTTTGCAGTGCTCTTGTCCTGCGTAGTTTACTCCCTTAGTCGGTTCTTACGACACCTACGGTATGAATAGGGGTGGTGACACTTCTTAATCAATCCGTCATGACATGAACTATTATTATATACATATTACGGGCTCTGCCCGCGTGTTTGTCGGTTATCGAAGAAAAAGTAGCCTATGTTACTCGCTGATAATGTAGCTTTGCATTGGTAAAATCAATTTAGTGGTTTAGGCGTGAAAGCGTAACAAACAAATTCACTTTCACATTTTTATTAAAATAATGGTTTCGATTTTCCACTAATATTTATAGATATTCATCGTACCTATCTACGTTTTCATTTGTGGTTATTTAATTTGCCTCTCAACTTATAAACCGCTTCATTTACTCGGTCTGTCCCCTAGGTCATTCACATAAAATATCGATTCTTTATTAGATAAAAGCAGATACATTTTTTGATGGACCCCAATTTATATAAAGAATCGATCCAAATGAAATAGCATTTCATCAAATTGTAAATTACAAATTAAACCTATGAAAAAAAAAATTATCATCAAAAAGTTTCATTAAACAAACTGACAATAAGAACTGACTGATTGAACAACAGACATGAATTTTAAAGCGGTTTCGTGTCCAGAGGTTACACATCCAGTACAGTAATTACGATTATAATACTTAAATCTCATACGTATTCTTTTCTACATGTTAGTCTTACTTTCTGACACTGAATCGAGAGAGACAGGCAGGTATGTTAGGCCATTGTAATTTAGACAAATCCCACCGATAAAGGTTATAGAATGAAGTTGGCATAGGCAGATTAATTTGATTTATCTCAACTCAGACACCTTGAAGTCGGTTACCACTTTTAAAAGATTATTAATTTATTATAACATTAAGGCCAGTCAACTAACAATGATTTAGAAAACCTATACTTAATAACATTTGTTTCGTACCAAGTATCAAAAGCACTACTCAAGTACAATTAGAAGGAATAGTATTTTTTTTCCATGCGGAAATCCCTTTGGATAACAGCCACCGGAAAACCGTCTCGAGTACCAGTGGTCGGGGACTAAGGTGTACCCAGGAATGAATTATGCGCGTGCGCGTACGTGCGCTAGCCGAGAAGGTACATATACTACCTGACTATAAAATAACAAGTATTAAGGTATATTTTATAATCTATAGTGTCCTGATTGTATCAAATTGTTAACACTGTATAGAAGTTGCAAAACATCTTGACAACGTGAAATAATACGTAGAATATACTGAAAAACAATTTATTTTCATTACGGTTTTAACCAATCGCTACTTCTGCTAAAGCAACAGTAATCAATTACTTATGGTGGAAAATAACGCAACATTTCATAGTGCAAATCTTGATAGAAAAAAGTATGTGATTTTTTTACCATGTATACTTTTTTTAAATTAGTTATGTTACTTTATGTGTGCACCTATATTATGTGACTTAGCACGCGCGCAATCACACAAACAAAAGTACGTGGATATGTATAATAATTATAAAATACAAAGAAAGAAGAAGTAAAACCTTTGCCGTATATATGCTTAATTACCAATGTAATCGTAAGTAATCAGATCATCACTGAGGAGATTTGGTTTTTATAAGTATAGAAATTTAAAACTTTTGAAACTAAAACTTTAGAAATGCATTATGTTAATAACAACTACAACCTCAAATTGTATCTCGTTGCTGATTGTTTTTGGTATTTTAAACCTTTCAACTCAATATTTGCATGTTATTTACTATTTATTTAACTAAATCTTTGCGTGCCCTGTTCTTATTATTTAATCTACTTATCATCTTTTCTATAACATTTTATGCAAACAAACTTATTATTATTGTAATAAAATTATAATATTGTGTAGTTTTAAATTATTTTTTATTTTTCATACATAGACATAGACGTTTAACGAACAAATGAACGTAGTCCCGCAGTTTTTATCATAGGCATATAGATATTCATGTGCGTGATTCTTTGTGAAGTTTTTAACCTACCGTGTTTAAAAAAATTAAGAAAAGACGTTTTTCTTATAATTTCAATTGTAAATCATAAATAATATAATTATTCAATTTATGAAACAGAAATTGGAAATTTTTACATCAATACAAAATCCTGAAAAAACACAACTCAGTTGAAGTTGGTTGTTTTGGCCAGTAAGTACTAGACGGAAACCTATACTGCCCGTGGCTAGACGCTACCTATAAATGCTAACAATCGATGCAAACATAAAAAACGGTATTAAAGGCGTTTGATTTCTCGAACGCCTTTAATACCGTCAGTCACGATGTTCTGCTATCCATCCTTTCCTATCTTATGATCTCCTCGGAAGCCCTGGAATGGTTCTCCTCCTATCTTCAGGGACGACAACAGTGTGTTCGTATTGACGGCTTGTCATCGAGTTGGTGCGACCTTTTCACTGGCGTCCCTCAAGGCGGTATATTATCTCCGTTATTATTTTCAATTTTTATTAATCTCGTTACCCAACACCTTCAATGTGCGTATCACCTGTATGCAGATGACTTGCAAATTTACGCCCAATCGAGAGTTGAAGACATATCACACGCCACTGATAAAGTCAACAAAGATTTGGACTTCATAAGGAGATGGTCGATGAGGTTTGGTTTGTCGGTTAACCCAAGCAAATGTCAAGTGATCGTCATAGGTAGCAAACAGATGTTAAATAGGTTGGACATGACGGCCATACCACCAGTTGTTTTTAACGACATAATCATACCTCTGAGCCCAGTGGTTAAGAACCTAGGGCTACATATTGATTCGACACTTGACTGGAGAGCACAAGTCACCCACGTCAGCCAGCAAGTCACTACATGTCTTCGCGCCTTATATCGTCTCAAGAATTTTCTGCCCACTAAAACCAAGGCTACGCTTATGCAGTCCCTTATTACTCCCTTAATCGATTATGGTGATGTGTGTTATCTTGACCTGAATGCAGACCTCCTCAATAAACTAGACCGACTTCTTAATAACTGCATTCGATTTGTTTTTAATCTTCGCAAGTATGACCATGTGTCTGCTTTACGTTCCCAACTGAAATGGCTCCCGATTCGTCAACGCCGCAGTCTGCGCGCACTAACATATCTTTTTTCATTTCTTAATTCCCCATCGGTACCTGAGTACCTGGTTCCCCATCTCCGCCTCCTTTGCTCCAGTCACGACCGAAATCTTAGATCAACAAATAATATGCTTCTTCTTTGCCCCCCTCACACTTCCAACTTCATCAATTCTTCCTTCTATGTTCAGTCAGTTCTTCTCTGGAATGCGCTCCCAGTTGAAATCAGGATGTCCACTAACCGGTTTACGTTCAAGAAGAAAGTACAAGAACTTCTACAAAATAAGTTGGCAGAAAGGTCACATCGCTAGCACCCGACTATGTGTTTTGATATTTATGTATTTATAAATGTGTATATTCATCTATTGTATGTGTATACTTGAGACCTCTATGTATATATGTAGTGATGAATATAGTATTTTATTTATAGTATTTATAGTAGTAGTGTATATATGTAAGTTAGATTTATCCTACATTAATAAGTTTAATATAAACAAGTCAAATTCTCTGTTTTCTCTTGCACCTACAGCTTCATTTTTCTACATCACCCAAAGGTCGACTGGCAGAGAATGCCTTGGGCATTAAGTCCGCCTTTGTACAACTAGTGCATTAAGTTAAATAAATAAATAAATAAATAAATAAAAAAGAAAAAAGATTAAAAAAAACCGGTATATAGTCGTTTACATTAATTGTGTTTGCTTGGTTATACAAATATAAAAAAATGCTACAAAACTAGTCTAAGACTGATTAGGTAGATACAATAGCTATATCGTGTTCTTTTGAACAATGACATACTTTCTACTGGTATCTGTAGTTTTTATACAATTCTGTTGTACTTTCCTCAGTGATCATCTGATCACTTACGATTGCATAGGTAATTAGGCATAGATATACGGAAAAGATGTTATGAGGCGAAACAGGAAGCGTTTCGTCACCGGCTATACCTACCTAATAATAAGTCTTTACCATTGAAGTTTTATTCGAAAGCCTTGTTATTTTGATTTAAATGAAATAAATTTAATGATTTTAATTTATTTGAATAAATTTAATAACCTACTTTCTAGGGAGAGGCCTGTGTCCAGCACTGGACTATTAAAGGCTGATGATGTGATGTGATGATGAAAATAAATTTATTTGAATTTCGAATTGCGCGCCAATCCACAGGTAATTAAATCTGAAAATGATAGTTTTAAAAATCTCCAACTTCATAAGTAAAGACCCACGTTTTAGGTAAATTATTATGTGACCTCAACCTTAATCAAGTTTATG